GCATCCGCACCGAGCCGTAGCGGAAGGCTTTGCCCTCAGTGGCAAAGCTAAAGACGTTCGGCACGAACATCGCCGGCACGCTTTCTTCGTAGTCATCGTGAACCTGACTGGCCCCATCTACCCAGGTCACCGCCGGCCGCACGGGCGTCTTGGCTTCGCCGATAATGATCGGCAGCCCATTGACCAGCAACACCACATCGAACCGCTTTTCCAACTGGCCAACCTTGTAGGTCCACTGGTTGCAGACGATCAGTTCGTTGTTCGCGGAGTTCTCGAAATCGACCAGACGAACCGTAGTGTGTTCCCCGTTCGGCCCGAAAGGCATTGTCTTGTCGCCCTTGATCCACTCGGCCAGGGCTTCATTGGACCGAACGAGTCCATCGTTCTGCACGGACAGCAAAATCGCCCGCAGCTTGTAAATCACCTCATCGGCGCGATCGGGCTGTTCGGCGATCTCGGGGTTGAGTTTGATCAGTGCCTGGCGCAATGGCGATTCAACAAAGACATCCGAAGCCTGCCGGGAAAGCGTCGGCCCGGCCACATAGGTCCAGCCGTTTGACACGCAGGCATCAAGAACCATTTGTTCGACGGTATTAGCTTCACTGAACGACATTGCCGCTCTTCCCGTCCCTGTAGAGCAAATGCCGACACATGCTTTTCAGCAGCACTTGCTCATTCCGTAGTTTGATTCTCGCACCCCGAATCGCTCTGTCGAAGTTTGCTACTTGTCCTAGCAACTGGTGCTGCCCGTCAATACTCGGAAGCGGAATCTCCAGTGCTCCTAAGCCTTTTCGATTGATCTTCTTCATGCTCCCACTCGTACCAGCGGCAACGCGCCGCATGTGGCGACGTCCTTGCGGAGAAAGCATTACAAGTTCCAGGTATTTAGTTAGAATGATTGATTCATCAACTCGGACTCGCATCATTAGATCTGGAAACGACACATCACTGCGTTGCTCATCGAAGACTCCAGCGAGCCCAACCAACTCGGTCGTATTTGATCTTGAAACTAGCAAGTCTCCGGGCTCGACGACCGTCG